ATAAATGAAAAAAGCAAATAATCATACGAGAAGTAAAAATTTAAATATTATAAGTACTACATTTATAATAACCATTTATAACCCTCGTGAGCTCACTCGAGTTACACGAGAATATGTCCATTCTAGTGCTAACCTCGTTGATTAAACGGATTGCACGAGTAAGTGGCATTGGCATTGACGATTAGCAGCGGTGGATGTCGCCTCCTCCACAATTTAGATTTCCACCTTAAGTTAATAGGGTCTAATTCTAGTAGGTCATAATTATGTGATAAGCACGTACGTTTTTACTTGGTTTGCATATAATCTACCTATAATAGACTTACATTTAGTAATGGTCTTATTATATATTTATCAGTGGTATTCAAAAATTAAAATTCTAGTAGCTAGTAAAATATAAATAAAACCCAATATCACACGATATTCAGCAATTCTATTGATTCTGTTGAAAACTGTAATTGAAATCCAAACTCTTATCCTCATTTTTAAATTCTGTTCTACTTAATCACAAAAAAAGCTGTTTCAAAAAAATTCTCATACAAAAAAATGGCTGGCAAAATACACACAATGGAACCTCCTACATCAGAACCAAATCTTCGTTTCTAGGCTTTTTTGTCCGTTTGACGAGAGCTAAGCATCTGAGAAAAAAATGTACGCGGTAATCTTTAAGCAATTTGTTAAAGAAACGCAAAAAAGTTCCCCACAATGTTTCCGAGTGTAAGACTAACTCTTTTTTATCCGATTATGTAGACAAAAGGGACGGTTATTATTTACAATGTTTTTGCGAGGTTTCCTTACTTTTAGAATACGTAGATTTTAGGGGTATAAAGCTGAAGTCTCATGTTGTTTGAGCCAAAAGTGTTTGTCGGGAAATCTTTGTCGGGCACTTTCAAATGTCGAGAAACTTTAAATGTTATAGGTACTTTTTAGATTTAGACTCAAGTCCGGTACGGATTTGTTTGCTTATGTTCTAGTATATGGCACGCAAGGTCGATTCTAAGAGCAAGCGGTTACTAGAGTGGTGACCATGGGGTCAGAAACGTCCACCAGGAAGACCACGGATGCGTTGAGACGATATTATGAGAACAGTAGGAAAGAAGTGGGTCCAGATCGCACAAGATTTCGATGAGTTACTTTAAAGGAGGCCCATACCCGAGGAGTGTAGCCAGTCTGAAGGCAGAGAGAGGGAAAGAGATAGAGAGAGAGAGCGATGTGAAAGCATAGCTACACTTGTTGTATTTTTTGAGGTTTTCTACATATCTCTTATAAAGCCAAGCTAATTTGGTTATTATTTTTAAAGAAAATTCGACTTGTGTCAACGGACTGCGATAGTCATTTGACGGATTTTCCTCGTTTATTTCCGATACTTACCATACAAAAAGAATTAAACTTAACTTCAAAGTTTTGACAATTACAGCAGTCAGTACGTATAACATACCTCTAAAGTGCCTGACGTTTCGACCAGAGTTCATTGGTGAGGTTCGTCGACCTTCTGTCCTAACATATTTTTTTAAATATTGTTCTGCTATATTGTGTTATACGAGTAATATATAGAAACGTTTGCAAAATCATTTGACTAACAAATAATCACTTTCGCCAATTAGATCCAAATCCTAAAAACGAAAAAAACTGTCGTCTCACAAAACCCAATTTTGTACAAAAGACAAGAATCTTACAAAATGGCCCATCAATTATGTGAATCAATTATTCTCTCTTATTTACCTCCTGTCTCTTCTGGCATGTTTTGAACGGTGCTCTGAGAGATTTGAATAATTCAATTTGCCAATGTCAAAATACTTTAACCAAAGGGACCGGGCATATTAGCAATATTGCTGATCATATTAATATACTCGTAGTAGCTAGAGTAAACCTAAAAAACAAATAGATAGAAATATCTACTTCTGACAGTCTATGTTCAACAATTTCTTCGTTTACGTCTTCGTATACAATAGACCACAGATTTCATAGATAATTTAAGGTTGGGTCTGATGGTCTAGTGGTCAGGACAAATAAATGTGTGATGAGCACGATCATCTGTTCTGGGGCCAATTTATCAATATTTACTTGTGTATTTAGAAATAAATAAGTATGTTTATCAGCAGTCTGGTTGCCATAGTACCGACTCAGCCTAGTTTAGGATCAGACGATCGTATATCAGATGGGATGTGAGGAGTGCGCGGCCAAGTTCTTGACCTTACTTCAGTAATATACTTATGCAAACTATGTATTTCAAGACAAATTCAGCCAAAATTCGAATAAACCTATAGAAATGAAAGTTTCTATAGGTTTATTCGATTTACAGAAGTCGAATAAACATTACTAGTTAACATGATGAGTTTCCTCGTATCCACTTTTATAAAATACTCATAAAGTCTACATACTATTTACAAGATTTATATAAGAATGTAAATCTCCACGGTTAAGCTCGACGTCGAGTCGAGACTTTTGCATTCATATTTATTTTTACAGTCAATTTTTAAAACTTTGTTGACTTTTACGTAAGTGAATCGTCCGAGAAAGCCAAAGAATCTATGACTAAAAGATGTCCTGTGCCTGTTAGCTGGTGGAAGTTTAAGCCTGCGTGAAGTTGGTCGCGGAGATACAGAAAGATGATGAGATTTGAGATTTAACGAATGTTGCTTTAGTAATATTTGTAGAATGAAAAGTTGACGCACTGTTAGAACTTCGCAGTGCTCATACAGTTCTTTTGTAGGATAGCGGTATGGTTTAAAGGTGCACACTTTTAATACAGCCCTTTGTGCGCGCTCTAACTTAATAAATTAAGTCTTGAGAGCACCACCCCATGATAAGATACAATACCCCAACAAGGACTGGCACAAGGCATAATAAACTGTTTTCAGGATTTTTGGTTCTGCAACATGCCTTAGGTATTTGAAAATGAAGATGAGTTGACGTATTCTACCTGTTAAAAGTTCAATGCAGAATATGTATGTTCCATCTAATACAGAGCTGTTGGATAGAGAAACTTACATATCCAGTAAATTGGAAGCCCGAAACTTGATAGCGAGGTACACAATAGAATGCATTGCAGCATGTACTTTCGGAATAGTTGCATACACCATGAACACCATGACTGACGATACAGAGGAAAATCCCTTTACTAGATTAGCATTATCATTTACGAAAGCACCAAAACTGTTATTTTATTTTAGATTACTACGAGCTATTTGGCCAAGTGTATATTACGCTCTGGGTCTTAGAACAGTATCTAAACCAGTTACACTCGAACGAAGTCGCTGGCACCAGCTAGTCCATACTATTTTTAAAATATCCTTCAAATACAATTAACATTAGTCGCACTGGTAGCTGCGCTGAATAGGATGGGATCCCGTAAACCCTGACCAAAGAGTGACATTGTTATGTACCTAATTGTGTCCCGAAGAGCTGATACATGCTCGCACATAAGTTGCACTATCGTGTTGGTCTAGCTACACATCACATCATCACATCAACAGCCTTTAACAGTCCACTGCTGGACATAGGCCTCTCCTTAGAAAGGAGGTTTAGGCCTACTATTTAGGTACAATCTAGGTCTAGCTACCTTATTTTATAATTTTATATTTTATCAGCGGTGTATTTGCATAAGGTTCATGATTATGACAACTGCGTTGTGCTTTGTTTACCGTTGTCCACTAGATATATATTTACCTGTTAAAACTTAGAAATTTTAGTAACTTAAAGTCAAATTAGATTTTAAAGTACAAAAAATCATCAATTGCTTTAAATATTTACATATTTTTGTACTTTATTATTTTTTATTTAATACCCGATCGAATACTACTTTTTAGTACCATGGTAAAAACACACATAGATATATAAATGTTCATTTCAAAAAATATACGATCAGTTAAACTTTAAATGTGTTTAGAACATACATATATCTTTACAAAATCAATGTAAAAAATATTGTCAATAAACATCCATCTCGCTTATCGCGATCATAAAATTTTATTTCTTTGTGTCCATTGCTTTTGTAAATAAAACTTTAACTGATGCGTGTAAGGTTGAATTTGCAAAGAAATATGCTAAAATATAACTACAACTACTTAGGCATAATTGGGGACAGTTTTAACTCAATACTTCCACACGTTTCCAAGATAAAGATCGTGACAGACGGACAGACCGACAGACGTATCACAAATTTTGATTTGTCGGGTAAATATGTGCCACAAGTGACAGTTCTTTCCATGACTTGATTTTTGGTGGCAAAAAATTCCGGTTCTGCTGAGAATAATGTAAGTAATATTTTTTTCTGCGTTTATAAACTTAGTATATTGTTTCTATCATAAAATTAGATAATTTTCCTGTCCCATAATAGTGAATGTTTTATGAAATACTTTTTTTAGCCACAGATATAGTTGTCGAAATATGTGTGGATCGCTAACGACCCCTTGGGTAGAAGTGTATTTAATGGCAATTTTATTTTTAGGTTTACGAGACCACTTAAAACGAATGATATCATTGAGGTGTTCGAAAATTGTTACTCCGACAATGAGATACTGGGTGCTGATATATTTATTGACCCTCCTGGTGATGGCAGGGTATCTGACGGTGATTCCGGAGATGACGAAGATATATTTTTCCATCATTTATCCCGTCGACAGCTACTCGCACCTGCAAGGCTAACTTTAAAGCACCCATTTGTAGAAGAAACTGCGTCCAGCGAGGATGATGAACCTGATGATACACCTCCATTGCCACTGGAACAAATAACTCGCGGCAGAGCACGTGGGAGAGCACGTGGAAGAACACGTGGAAGGGGGAGAGGAACAGTTACTCAACGTCAACCGGGTAGAGACCGCACTTGGGTGAAGAGAGATCTCTCCAGGAACAATTGTGAGTGGACCATACCCTTTCCTAAGTCTATTTCTACATTGTCTGCACATAGTGACCCTGTTGTATTCTTTGAACTCTTTTTCAATCGTGAAGTAATTGTTCACATAGTCAGACAAACAGTTATATATGCTATTTAGTCGGGAAATATGAATTGCTCTTTGTCAGACCAAGAAGTATACTGCTTTCTTGGTATCCTTATTTTGTCTGGTTATGCTCCGTTGCCACGACGCCGCAGGTACTGGGAGAGCAATGAAGATACCCATAACATTCTTGTCGTAAAATCGCGTTATTTTCATGTCGCCGATAATACTGCACTGCCTGAAAATGATAAGATGGCAAAAGTACGCCCGCTGATTGATATGCTAAATGCTAAATTTCTACAGTATGCTCCTATCGAAAAGCAAATAAGCATCGATGAATCCATGGTTCCGTATTAGCGGAGGCATGGTTGCAAACAGCACATCAAAGGGAAGCCATTATGGTTTGGGTTCAAAATCTGGATTCCTGCCACGAGATTGGGCTACTGCCTGTATGCCGATCCCTATCAAGGGCGCTCTGAACGTACAGAATCAGAATTAGGACGTCATGTTATCCATAAACTGCTAACTAAAGTACAGGAGGAATTTCCTAATACAGATTTCTCTGTGTATTGTGACAATTTTTTTACTGGACTGCCATTGGCCAGTGACCTCAAAGAGAAACAGAACAGAGTACAGTGCGTAGTAACCGTATTGAAAACTGCCCACTGAAAGACGCAAAAGAATGCCAAAAAGAAAAAAGAGGGTACTATGACTATCAATTGGACGAAACAAATGTGTTGTTATATGGCACGATAATAACGTTGTGACTCTCTTATCGACTGAACACGGAGTACAACCCATCCAAACGGCAAGAAGATATTCAGCTGCGCTAAAATCAAGGATAGATGTACCACAACCTCATCTTATTTCAGAATATAATCGATACATGGGGGGTGTGGACCGATTGGATGCCAACGTGGGCGTGTATAGAATCACCATGAGAGGCAAGACATGGTTTATGCCTATTCCTTTTTGGCTCATTGACGTTGCAGTGAATAATGCTACACTTCTAGCTCGCCAATACCGAGGCGACATCGACACACTGGAGTTTCGACGGAGCATTGCCCGCACTTTGGTTACCGACGGGCCTGTTGGTCTAGTGGTTAGTGACCCTGACTGCTAAGCCAGAGGTCGTGGGTTCGATTCCCACCCAGGACAAATATTGTGTGATGAGCACGATCATTTGTTCTGTGTCTGGGTGTTATTTATCTATAATATGTATGTATTTAAAAATATATAAGTATGTTTATCAGCAGTCTGGTTACCATAGTACAGGCTCTGCCTAGTTTGGGATCAGACTGCCGTGTGTGAGATGTGTGAAGTTATTATTATTATTATTATTATTATTACTTTATTCCAGAATCACGGCACCGAAAAGGTTCATCCTGGACTCATTAGAAAGGTCCAAACTAGCGTACCTTATGCAGTGCGGAAGCACAATGCAGCTCATATGATAGGAAAGGCTCTGTCGAGACTTCGCTGTGCTTTGTGCAAAAATGAAACCGTAACGGCGTGCAGTAAATGTGGTGTTAATTTACATGCAAAATGTTTTTCACAGTTTCATTCTTAAGTTTGATCTCGAATTATGGCGGAAATTAAATATTTTATAAAATATTGGCATTTTTATTCACCATATAATTTACGTTACACATTTAACCAGAGGGTCGTTTTTGACCATTAAAAAAAACACCATGCTCTCACTGCCACCTCAAATTTTCACTTACCGCCTTCATTGGAACCCTTCAGGTATCCACATATCAAAAAATGAATGAAATCGAAGAAAAAAATATTTCTGGGCATATATGTGTTAAGGTAAATTTTGGTACTTCCAAGTTATCGCGAAAATCGAAATTTGCCTATATCTTTTTATCGTGTTGACTCTGGACCTTGATTTTTATACACCTAATAGGGACGATAGACCTCAGTATCTGGTATAAATTTTAACTTGCTAGGTCTACGAGTTCCTGAGAAAATCGGTGGTGACACACGGACAGCCGGACTAGAAAGTGATATTATAAGGGTTCCTTTTTTACCTTTTGATTTTGAGGTACGGAACCCTAAAAACGAGACATTAAATGAGCAGAGATGGGATAACTCTGATTACCTAAGTGAAAAACCATCATCATCATCAGCCTATCGCAGTCCACTGCTGGACATAGGCCTCTCCCATTGCACGCCACTTAGCTTCTCGCATCCAGCTCCTGCCAGCCATCTTGCGCAAATAAAGAAAAATCATAAACGTCACAAAAATTCATTTTCATGGCTATTGCAAGACTTAATAAGATTGGTCTGTCGTCACCAGACGGGCTCAAAACTAAGTTTGTAACGAGGCCCACCGGCAAACACTCCTGCAAGGAAAACTGATGGGTTAAATGGTTAGATATTGTGTATTTTTGCATAAATATTTTGAAAATAGATGTTGTAACCTTCACTACCTTGTTTGTTTTCTGCCAGTCATAAGAGTCATAACTATAATTTGCGCTCTTAGAAAATAAAAACACATTTTATCTCTAAATCAAAATTGTCTACGTTTAAATATGGTTGAAATATTGTACTTAACTTGCATTAAATTTTCGAATGTTTTATAAGCCCCCGGTGTACTGTAACAAGCAACAGTATTTATACTAACCATTGCAAACTCACGCGTATTGTACAATAAATTTGTGAGGAACGTGATTTTAAAACAACCATAGCAATTAAATGGAACCTAAGATTATCTTAAATATAGTTAACAAAAACTATAATACCTGCTTGGTTGTTATACGAGTAATTTTACCGTCTGTTCGTAGATATAGATAAATGTTGCGAGACTTGTGCATATATTATTGAAGTCATCAGAAACCCAACACTCAAGAACAAATTGATAACACTCGTTCAGAGCTCAGTCATTCGTTCTCGCGCAGTGAATAAACATCATGTTACTTTATCTTATAATAGTGACATTGATATTACTGTACTACATATCAACAAGAAAATACAACTATTTTAAAAATAAAAAAGTGCCGCATCTTAAACCTACATTCTTATTAGGCAATTATGGCGATGTTATTCTTCAAAAAAAGAGTTTGGCTGAAGTCGTTCAGGATATTTGCAAGCAATTTCCTGATGAACCATTTATTGGTGCTTACTACGGCACAGAGCCTATTCTGATACCAATTGATCCAGAAATCATCAAGCTCATCATGACCAAGGATTTTCATTATTTCCATGGCAGAGAACTGTCCGAGCACAATCACAAAGAACCAGCATCTTTAAATCTCTTCGCCACTTACGGAGACAGTTGGAAAGTGTTACGGCAAAATATGACACCATTATTTTCATCAGCAAAAATGAAGAATATGTTCCATCTAATACAAAGCTGTTCATATACGTACGAATCAATGTTGGACAAAGAAATTGCCATATCCAAGGAGCTTGAAGTCCGAACTTTGACAGCGAAATATACCATAGAATGCATTGCAGCATGTGCCTTTGGAATAGATGCAAACACCATGACTGACGATCCAGAGATAAATGCTTTTGCAAAGCTAGCGTCATCATTTACGAAATCACCAAAGATCTTATTTTATGTTAGATTACTACGAACCCTTTGGCCAAGTATATATTACGCTTTGGGTCTCAGAATATTATCAAAACAAATTAACTTTTTCCAAAATCTGATTACCTCTGTAATGGAGCGGAGGGACTACAAGTCGTCTGGACGGAATGACTTCGTGGATCTTGTGTTAAGCTGGAAGCTGAACAATCAGATAGTGGGCGATAGTATAAAGAGTATTAAAACTGGTGAAGTACATAAAGTAACTTTGACAGCTGATGATGATCTCTTGGTAGCTCAGTGTTTTGTGTTCTTTGTTGCTGGATTTGAAACTTCATCAACAACTTTAAGTTACACTATATATGAGCTGGCTAAGCATCCCGAAATTCAGAACAGAGTATTGGAAGAAGTGGACAATTATTTGAATCAGCACAACAATAAGCTTCTTTATGAATGTAATACTAGCTTACCATATTTAGAAGCTGTAATTGATGAAACCCTTCGTCTCTATCCAGTTGTTGGGTTAAATATTCGTGAACAGATGGAAGACTATACCTTCCCAAATGGTATTCGGCTTGAAAAAGGTTTGAGAGTGCACTTGCCAATATTGTATTTACATCACAGCCCTAAACACTTTTCTGATCCAGAGGAGTTTCGCCCTGAAAGGTTCCTCGGTGAGGCGAAGAAGACAATCAATCCATATGTATACATGCCGTTCGGAGAAGGACCTAGGGCCTGTATCGGTAAGTTTTTATGACTAAGTAACGGTTGTAGTAACATTTTTTGTTTTTTACCTTAAATGACCCTTAAATTGCCCTTAAATGACATTTGACTGCACGGATGGCGTAGTGGTTTAAGCGGTCGCCACGCCGCTTTCTATTACGTCGAGTGTTGTGGGTTCAAACCCCATATGGGACAACACTTTGTGTGATCCACAAATTGTTGTTCTGAGTCTGGATGTACTTTGTGTCCATTTCATGTATGTTTGTAAAGTCCCCCGCGGCACAGGTGTTATAACTAGTGCGGGAGTTGTCTTTAGAAAAAAAAAACAAAACACAATTTTCTGAAAAGATGCCGTTTTAAAATGATCCAGCAAAAAATAATAATAAGAATATTAAAAGTAAATATATAACTGGTGTTGTGCTGTATTTCTGTAATTATTTTCCTCGTATCACGGTTCAGTAACTTGTGCAACTATAGCCAACCAGTTATTATACCCAGTTGTATAAAGTATAATTACAATTTTTAAATAATACGTCTCATCAAATAATAATCATGTTGATATGTTATTTTGAATTAAAAATAAAATATCATTGCGTGTCTGGTGATATTAACATTCTACAAAGTAAAGGTTTTTAATAGTACTCCAATACCTATTATTATGCTCGTTACGTCGATTGTTTTTGTTGCCAGTTTGTTGTTTTGGAACACGTTCACGTCTCAACTACTTGACTGTTCATCATTTATTTTAAATACTTTTCCAAGGACACATAGTCAAGGTTAGAGCGGTTTAAAAGCATGATATTTTGATTCTAGATGGAATTGAATAAAATCTGGCGCAAACTGAAGTTTATTGCCCATATAATATCCTATTAAAAAAGTAAGAATGGACGAGGTCGGCAAGATATTTTCTTTTGCAAAATAACTTTGGAAATCGTTTTTTTTTTAGATTTCTCGCAATATCTCGGCAGCATTGTAGCAAAAAGAATAGTTAAAAAGTAGAATAGTTGTTCAGCTGATGATTTTACGTAGCTATTAAGTATTATAAAAAAAAACCGAAAATGGATCTTAACGAAACCAATTGGAATCGCTAGATTGACTTTAAATAAGTCAAATTTTTAACTATTCATTTTATTGTTATTGACAAAAAAAACATTTCATGATTTGCAATTTCGTCAACTTACAACAAAGAGGTGTGGAATAATGCATGTGATTACGCTGTTTTTGCTGGACTTTCTTTTTAATTGGAGATATTACCGAGATATTGCGAGGTAACTAAAAAAAACAGTTTTCAAAGTTATTTTACAATAAAAAGCGTCTTCCCGACCTCGTCATTTCTAACTTCTTTAATGGATCATTATGTGGGCAATGACCTTTAGTTGCCGCCAGATTCCATTAAATTCCATTAAAAACCTTGTTACCCCGACTAATAAAAGAAGGCACTAGTACCTTTTATCCAGAAAAGTAATGTTCACGAGAATAGGAAGAGTAACTATTATCAATAAAAGCCATTAATGAACATTCTTAAAATATCCTTGAAAATAAAATAGGTACATGTACAACTTGATTGATGTCCTTGCACTGGATGAAACGAGTTGTTCTTCATCCACATCTAGGTATGTACAACCTCGTTAATTTATTATTCTAGTGTGTGGATAATTTCTCAGTTGGGAAACGTGATTTACATTGGAATAATAATAAAACCTCAACTGGTGCCCTGGCTATCATTCGTAAACAAAATATAAACACCGAACCTTCCGGCCGCCTTACCGGCGTTAAGACTATTCTAAACATTAAAAAATTGTGGGCCAACTAATTACTAAATAACATATTATCGGGCTGGCTGTCAACAGGAAAGATGGTTTTTGGGTAATGAAACACTACACGATTGAAAAGGTGCACTACAGACACTTTTAGACACCAATATAGATCTACACTTCCTGGGTTGCTTGTGTGGCTTACTGGAAGTGGTGTTGTGCAAACTGGTTGATGGCGCCATGTGTAATGTTTGAATTACTTACTTTTCACTTAGCCTTTTCGATGAATGCATATTAATTTACATGTCTACATATTCTGTAAAAATATATAGACTGTGCTACTCTGAAAATATGGAACTTTGTTGTAGTTTTGTTTTATTGTTTGTTATATTCAATAAATGATTTTTTATGTTTATAACCTTCGAGATATTATCATCAATAAGCCTGATACAGTAGTGATACTGCTGATAGGCTGATTAGAGCGTTGGTCCATGATTATAATAATCAATATCACCAATCGTCATGGCGATAACCTTGTGTAAGATTTTAAAGTTAAAGATCAAGTAAAAAAAAATCGTCGCCTTGTGAGATAGCATCACGAGATCCAATATATGAGTAAACAAGGCCCGTATAGTAAGAAGGTTCGTGTCTATGGAGCTCTTTTAATAAATTTAAAACGTAGTTAATGTGTGTTTAAACCGAATTAATCTTAAACACATCAGGGCTCGTCAATCAGCGTGATTGACTGACCTGTTGGTCTAGTGGTTAGTGACCCTGACTGCTACGCCAGAGGTCGTGGGTTCGTTCCAACCTAGGACAAATAATTGTGTGATAAGCATGGTCATTTGTACTTTATCTATAATATGTATGTATTTAGAAATCTATAATATGTTTATCAGCAGTCTGGTTACCATGCCGTGTGAAATGTGTAAAAAAAAAGAACATACTTCTTCTTTAAGTACCTCTCTGACTAGCGAAATTTGGCAGTCAGCTCTGCGTACTCCTTCTTGTTTCTTGCCAGGCGAAACAGATCGGCAGCACTCGCGATTCCCGTCCATTCCCGGATGTTACGCAGCCACGAGTTTCTTTTCGACCAACCCCGCTTCTTCCGGCAACCTTACCCATCATTATGATCTATAAAAACTAATATCTTTCATGCCTCAGAATGTTTCCGAGATATGTAACTTTTCTCTTTTTGACGGTCTCCAAAAGTTGCCGTCTGGTTTTTCATTCGAGACACTCTGAGTCCAACTAATGGCCAACATTCGCCCATGGCCTCAATTCTGCTATTACCCCAAGCCAGTGTCATACCACTGACACGCTATTGAGATGCCATCGAGTGGCCATTGGTATCGGTATAAATATCGGTAGTTGAAAATATATTACGTTTATTGAGGAAATTATTTATTTGTTTTTAATAAATTATTAACAGAAATAAATAAATTAAAATAACTTATTAAAAAAAAAAATTAAAAAAAAAGAAATAAATAAATTAAAATAAATTATTAAAGAATAAAATATAAAAATTATAAAAAAAGAAATAAATAAATAATTAAAATAAATAAATAAATCATTAAAAAAATAAAATTAAAAAAAAACTATAAATAATATTTATTAAAATAAAAAAAATATTTAAATAAATAAGTCATTTCCTTATAATTTGAAAATATATTATTATTACGTCTTTTGAGGAAATTATTTTTCTTTTATTTATTTTTATTATAGTAAATTATTAAAAAATAAAATTATAAAAAAAAAAGAATTAAAATAAGTTATGAAATAAAAAAAATCATTTTAAAAACCATTTAAATAAACAAATCATTTCCTTATAATTTGAAAATATATTTATTTTAATATTATTTTTATTTTTTTGTGTTAATAATTTATTTTTCATAACTTATTTTAGTTTATTTATTTATTTTAATAATTTATTATAATAAAAATAAATAAATCATTTCCTCAAAAAACGTAATATATTTTCAAATAATAAGGAAATTATTTAGATATTAATATTATTATTTTTTTATTTCTTATTTTTTTATTTTAATAATTTATTTATTACTTTTTTTATAATTTTATTTTATTTACTTCTTTTAATAATTTATTATATTAAAAATAAAAAAAATCATTTCATCAAAAAACAATATATTTTTAACTACCGATATTTATACCGATGCCAATTGCCACTCGATGGCATCTCAATAGCGTGTCAGTGGTATGACACTGGCTTGTCGTAAACATAAAATAGCAGAATTGAGGCCCATATCGATAGATTTGTTAATTTTGCCGTTGTTCTGTAACAACGGCAAAATTAACAAATCTCTATTCACTCTGGCATTTAAATCTGTATTCTCATCTTAAAATTAGAAATAAAACTAATAGTAATTACTATCGCATATGCAACTGACTACTGGAAAATATATTTCTATTGAGTAGAAACTACAATCGGGGTCGAATAAGGCCTAGTACATTTAAGAGTATCTGCGCTAACCCATCACCTTCATAGAACTATACATAGAATAGGTGTTCTTTGTGTCCGTTTCATGTATGTTTGTACGTCCCGCGACACAGGATATACTTATTCCTACTAAGGGATTTGTCTTTTTAACAATAAAAATAAACCAAAAACATTCAGATACTAACATCATCAACAGCCTTTAATAGTCCACTGCTGGACATAAGCCTCTCCTTAGAAAGGAGCTTTTGGCCTACTATACCACGCTGGCCAGACGGGTTGGTATAAGGTTTGTGTCAAGTTTTCATTCTCTCTGCAGTGCTGTTGTCCTGCGTAGTTTTTTCCCTTAGTCGGCTCTTACGACACCCACGGGATGAATAGGGGTGGTAACACTCTTAATCCGTCACCACACGGACCCACGGGATGAATAGGGGTGGTCCACGGGATGAATAGGGGTGGTAGATACTAATATGTTGTTCTCTTATTACAGGTATGCGTTTCGCAAAGATGCAGATGATGGCTGGCCTCATCACCATGCTAAAGAAGTATCGCTTTGAGTTGGCAGATGGAACCCCAAGTAAACTGCAGTTCAAGCCAGAGTCCTTCATCACACATCCCGTTGGGGGAATTAAATTGAAATTTATTGAAAGAGATGGTTGGGAGAAGAGAGTTTTTGTGCAGTAGTATGTTAAGGCTTGATTACTTTGAAATACGGAGGCGGTTGATACAAGGTTTGATTACTACTCAGGACAAATAATTGTGTTATGAGTACGAGCATTTGTTCTGTAGCTGGGGTACAGTAATAGTATCAGTATATATCAGTAATATGATCGACTTTAGTAATAAATTTGTACAGGCTTTGCTTAGTTTGGTCGTATTTAAAGTGTATGTAACTTATTGGTGGTGGTTTTAACTCATTATTATTAGAAGTTTAAGATAAATACCCGTATAATTTCTTTTATATCCCGTATATATTCTTTTCTTCTTAAATTATACCAGAATTTGATGTACAAGATTGTATTATTATTCTTGAGATTGCCACTAATTTTTTTTATGGAATAGGGGGCAAACGAGCAGACGGCACCTGATGGAAAGCGACTACCGTCGCCCATTAACGCCTGCAACTCAGGAGTCACAAGGGCATTGCCAGCCTTTGAGGTAGGAGTACGCTCTTTTCCTGAAAGTTTCTTTTCATTTTAAACTTTGTAAATGTTTATCTTTAAGTAAAATAACTGATTATAACTTAGATTAAATTAAATATTCTATAATTCATATGCCTACCTATTTTTTTATTCGTGTGTCTAATAGAACTTAATTAATCATGTCACACAAGTGGTAATAATCTATCATTATCACGTTTAAATAACATATGGTTACATAACAGTAAAACAAAATGTACTCGATTTACTAGAAAAACATGTCCGTGTGGTGATGGATTAAGAATACGGAGTGTCATCACCTCTATTCATCTCGTTGGTGTCGTAAGAGCCGACTAAGGGAGCAAACTACACAGGACAACAGCACTGCAAAGAAGCGAAAATCTGAAACAAACCCTATACCAACTCGTCTGGCCAGCGTGGCATAGTAGGCCAAAATCTCTTTTCTAAGGAGAGGACTATGTCCAGCAGTGGACTATTAAAGGCTGTTGATAATGATGATGATGATGATGATGACTGATAAAAAAATGTCTTAGGTTTAGTTTGTTATATAATTAGTTTTTATTTGAGACTGTATTTTTGATATTTATTTATGTGTAAATATAATACAGTGACAAATAAATTATATTTATTTCATTTTGTGATTCCTTTATTGTAAATTAAACACAACCTATTTATTTTTTCGTGTTATTCTGTTATCGAGTGATACATATATCTACCGCCACCCATGGGCCCCTGTAACTGAATAATCATAAGTTGCTTCGCTGTTCTCTGAATGTAACGTAAGTCACTCGGTCAAAAGCTAATGAAAGAATTTACTTAACGTTTTCTGTGAGGCCGTTACATAACTAGGGCCGAACATGACTCCCACGCACATACATTTCTCCCACGTTTTATGACAACTATTTATCTAAGAGTCTCTTCAAAATATTGCAGTTACGAACTACTCAATCTCACCTAAGACTTGCGATATCCTTCACCCTAGTTCTATCAGTTTTCCGTACCTAAAATTTCCCCTTTTTCTTTGCCGTTTCAAACGATTAAATTTCCAAAAAATGGGTGGCGTTGGTCAGGTCATAAAAGCCAAATCCCTTGACTTTCTAACACGTTGCACCGACTCCAAATATAATTGGGAAAAGGTCAGGCAAATTATAATTTGCAAACGCAAAAATTTCTCAAACGGGGCACTTTTGAACTGCAAGTGTATTAATACGTAAACACACCTATATTAATGCTCACTCTTATTCTACCAAAAGAAGAATGTCCTCAGAGTTAGTTTGATCCGCTAACACCAAAGTTGAAAATTTAACACCAAAGTTTTATGAAAACAATGTTATATTTCCTTCAAAATCGAATCAATTTTTAGTATAACCATAAACACTTACTTCTATCTTGGTAATAAAGCTGAGTTTCTTTATTATTGTTAGCAATTTCTCTGTGCTATATATATCTGCTCAATAAATAATATGAGATATACCAGTTAGGCGCTAAATATCCATTGAATGCGAAAAACAATGCGTTTTTAACAGTACGATTAAATATACAATAATTTCCTATTTTTTTATTTATAAACTATTGTTTAATATCACTTTTATCTTATCCTCGAAAGCTGACTGTTTTATTAATGATGCAGTTCTTCATATATTTTCGGACTAAAATGATATATAGCCCGTATGTATAACAACGCTATCACTATTTATAAGCAAATGATAAATAAAGGAGCCGTGACGTGTGTACGGTCGGCAGTAGAATTCCCAATTAATTATATCTACGTATCGCTCCAACTTCAACGCTGTGGTGTGGCTTCAGTGAGAGCGATTATTTATAAGCACACACACATACACACTTCACTTATAGTGAAAGTTATAGTAAGTACTCTGTGATAGAATTAATGTATTACCCGTGTTGTCCAGAAATCATCATCATTAACAGCCACTGCTGGACATTGGCCTCTTCTTAGAAAGGTTGTTTTGGCCTACTATACCTCGCTGGCCAGACGTGTTGGTATAGGGTTTGTTTCAAGTTTTCCTTCTCTTTGCAGTGCTGTTGTCCTGCGTAGTTTGCTCCCTTAATCGACTCTTACGACACCCACGGAATGAATAAAAAGTTGGTGTTAAATTAGCCATTGTTTTTTATCTAGTTTTACATACACTATATACACCCGATCCGTGTGGTGACGGATTAAGAATACAGAGTGTCACCACCCCTATTCATCCCGTGGGTGTCGTAAGAGGCGACTAAGGGTGCGAAATACGCAGGACACCAGCACTGCAGAGAGAAGGAAAACTTGACACAAACCCTATACCAACCCGTCTGGCCAGCGTGGTATAGTAGGCCAAAACCTCCTTTCTAAGGAGAGGCCTATGTCCAGCAGTGGACTGTTAAAGGCTGTTGATGATGATGATATACACCCACGTCTGCATCCCCGCAGGAGTAGACCGAACAGTATTTAACGTCAACATTATTCCTGTAATTTTAGACCTGTTTACGTAATAGTTGTCTTTAAAAAAAGAAGTAGGAGTAAAACCTATTGCTTTTTACCTGGCACTAGGAGTTTGATGAAAAAATGTAGAGCCTAATGATAGGAAAGAGATATTGCTTTTACGGTTGCATTGGGTAGTGTAACCTATAGTACGAGCAGGTTAAGGGCCAGCACGCCCTGACGTCAGACTGCCTTCGGCAGAAGGAAGGACGTTTGGTATGTCACAGCATGCCGAAGCATGCCATGCTAAAGCCAAGCCACTCAAATCAGCCACCACACCCGTTTTAAACCCTATTTCAATTAGTTTAGCTGTCATAATTCTGTGACCGATATGGCTCGCGGGACGCGGTAGTTTACCACGGCAATCCGTGGAATGAAACGGCATTATGATTGATGAAACGCCGCATTTGTATCGAAATAAAGTAATATGAATTCTAAACACATTGAAATAAGGATAAAAGGAATTTAATCTGTAATAACATCATTTACGGTGCCATGCCGTGACGTCACATATCTGTAACTCAAACTGGCTGTTGTTGGAAAGTGTGAGTCTAATCAATTTTACACTTATTTAGTTTATAATACTTAATTATGGTATATTATATGTTATACTTGATCTAAGTGGCGTGCAATGGGAGAGGCCTATGTCCAGCAGTAGACAGCGATAGGCTGATGATGATGACTTGGTAATTCTTTCATGTATTATCACTGAGTAAGTGAGGTTACCGTTGCTCCAAACCCTCTTCCTCCCTTAAATTCTGGGGGGAAGGGGGAGGAAGAAGTCTCAAAGGCGGCACTTATGACTCTTGAGCTGCAAATGTATTTTATACGTAAACACACCTACATTAATGTCACTCTTATTTTACCAAAAGAATGCCCACAGAGTTTAATTTGATCCGCTAACACCAAAGATTGAAGATTTAACACCAAACTTTTGTGTAAACAATGTTATATTTTGTTCAAAATCGAATCAATTTCTAGTATAACCATAAACACTTAGTTCTATCTTGGTAATAAAGCTGAGTTTCTTTATCATTGTTAGCAATTTCTCTGTACTATATATATCTGCTCAATAAATAATATGAGATATACCAGTCAGGCGTTTAATCAGAAACGTAGTAAATTGTGTTTTTAATATTGTTTATGAATAAAAAGATACTCAGCAATTGGTGTAGATAACGCAATATCTTCTAGAGTTATAAATTGGTTTCTTGTTATTTAAATAGATATTAAGTCCATATTAGTAATGTCATAAAATGAGCACGAGCAGGTAGAATATAAAACTCAGACTAAAATAAAATGCTACTTTTGTTCAAGTTGGTAAAAGTTGATTTCTTTTACCGTGCTTTTGCTGATAATATATCTCTTGCAGCTGTTGGTTTGTTCCTCAGCACTCTTGCCTTTATTATAGTACTTTCCTAGTAGAGTACTACTAGACTGTATTATATACCTAACACACTATAGTCTAAAGAATGTGTCAATTATGAAACAAACTGTGAGAAAAGCATTGTAGTATTACAGCACCACCTATCGAATACAAACCGAACTACGGTATACGGATGGCGTAGTGGTTTAAGCGGTCGCCACGCCGCTTACTACTACGCTGTGTTGTGGGTCCGATCCCCACATGGGACGACACTTTGTGTGATCCACAAATTGTTGTTCTGAGTCTGGGTGTTCTTTGTGTCCGTTTCATCTATGTTTGTAAAGTCCCCCGCGACACAGGATATATTCCTAATGCGGGAGTTGTCTTTTAAATAAGAACTATTAGTCCACTGCTGAGATAATATATCATATATAACTACCTGAGAACAACTCCACGAACTGGCAGCCGCTCAGGTATCATCACTAAGTGTTTCCTTACAAACAAGTCAGCGATTCCTGAAATATAGCAAAAGGAATGATCCTCTATTTTTCTGGCCGAACGTTAATAAATAGTTCACGTAACTCATCCCCTACTTAATTCCCCGTAGATTGAATGGCGCGGGATTTGCCGCGTGAGGCGCCTACACAAGCAACCTACCTGGAGTTTAGTACTTTCTTTG